TTTATTAACATGTTAATGACAAAACACCCGTGAAGATTTTAGGACTTACGACCACCAACACACACACTTTGAAACTAACAAAGACCATATATTGCGTGATTGATTAATTTAATCAACTTGAGAGAGCCAATTAAAGTTCTCGCAATGTATTGTTGTCGAGTCCATATATTGCCCAGCTTTTTCTTGTGTTTTTGAATATGCTAATGATGTCATCTAGGAGTGAATATTTTCAGTTCAGTTCGGTTTTCACCTAAAAATAATCAAATTAATTTTTTTAAGTCAAAACCAAAATCAATTCAAACCAACTAGTTTCATTTCGGTTCATTTAATTGTAAGGAGAAAACAGAAAAAATTAATTTTATTTTGGCCAAGCATATTGAGCAAGTTTTTCTGAAACTGAAAATAAAGAGGTTAGAAAGGACAAGTATTAGATGAAGATTTGAAAAAAATAAGTTTTACAAAATCCATGACAGTAGTTGTAACATACTATGGCAAACCAGCAACATCCTAAATAAATATGAGAAATGAATATATAATAGATCTACAAAAATAAAATAAAAAAGTGGTTGCTTTGGACAATCTGATAAGTTTACCTCTTATTAAGAGAGATCTTAGCGATAAGAATATTTTATGTGCCACTTCTGATGATGCATTAGGGACAAATATATGTCAGTTCAGTAGATCAACACTTTTAAGGACTCTTGCAGCATATCCATAAATGCTATGAAGATTGAATTGGGGGGAGAGGGGCTCCAGGGCTAGTGTTTGGATGTTTAATCTATTGAAATATTAAAAAGGAAAAAAAAGATTGAGAGATGAGATAAGAAGATTGAAGAGAGGGGGCTCCAGGGCTAGTGTTTGGATGTTTAATCTATTGAGATATTAAAAAGGGAAAAAAAGATTGAGAGATGAAAGAAGAAGATTGAAAAGAAGGGGCTCCAGAGTTGCTGTTTAGTTGTTTAATTCATGAGCTCTCTTATTTAGCAGTCAACTGTGCAAGGGAACAACTAGAGTTTCTTGGGGTTAAAAGAAGAAACTAAAAAGTAGATGGGAGAAAGATATTTATAGTACCACTAGGGTCTAGGTTTTTTATTTCTATTTGAACCAGTTTGGTTCAATCCAGTTTTTTTGATTTCAGCCTTTTAAAACTGAAACTGAACTAAATAAAATTATTTTTTAATTTTTGTAATTAGTTTAATTGATTTTTTTATGATTTAATTTTTTTAGTTATTTTTTTATTTTTCTTAGTTTAATTAGTTTTTTGATTTTTTTACTCACCCCTAATATCATATTAATGAGTGTTTATTTAGTATTCACTACCCTTCATATGAAGAGATGATTGGTATTATTATAAGCTTTTTTTAATCTTAGAAAAAAAATATTTGGTTTGCAAAATAATTTTTGTTTTTTACTAAGTTTTATAGTTAATTGTGTTTTAAAATTTAGTTTTGTAGAAGGTAAAATAACATTATGTTTATTTATGAAGACCTGATTTTGATCTATTTTGCATGAAAAAATCTATTTCATACTAGCCATTTTAACCAAGTACATATATTTTTTTTAAATTTGCAATTAAAAGTTTTTTAAACCTATTTTCTTTTAAATTGTAGCAGTAAAAGCTATAGCAATGCCAACACATAATGTGGCTCATACCTAATAATATCGTAAAAAGTCCAAGTATCTTAAAGAAGAGGGCTCCTAGATTGAATAATTGGTTAATCAATTAGTTATTATAATCTCATTCATTCTTTTTAACTAAGGTGATTGATATCTTGTACTTGGTGCTTAGTAGACCAAGATAAATTAGCTAGTACCTGTGAAAGGTTCCATTTGGTAGAAGTGGAGACTTTCTGATTCCTAAGTAAGTATTTTTTTTAAGAGAGAAAGTACAATAATATTCTAGAAAGAGATGTTCTAAAAATATATATGCAGTATAGAATAAAGATTATAAATATTTATTCTGAAGGTTTTATGATATATTTATAGCTCATGAATCTTGTCCTTTTGTGAAGAGAAGGGATTGAAGTGTAATTTTACCATTGTGAGGTGATATTTTAAGTTGTACTGTGGGTTGTATTTCACTTATTTTATCTAGCAAAGTAAAATGATGGAGACATGGTAGGCTACGAAAAACTTTAATATACTAATAGTGTCGGTAGAGTGTAAACTTGTTTAATTAAGTTTATTTATTAAAAAATAAATCCCCTAAGATTTTATGTAAAAATCTATAAAATTAATGATGTTAGATTCATGTATTATGTTTGAATTCATATGTATAGCTAATCTGATCATGCATGAATTGTGATAATAAAAATTCTCGAGTTTGATATTTTTAGGAAACACGAGCTAGACCCACCCTATTGGCTTGACAGTACGTCAAGTTCATCTAATGGGCCTGACAACACTTGTTAGACCTAGATCTAGTAGACACCAAACCCAAATAGTGCTTGCTCTAGTTAGTACTAGATCTAGGTTGCGCGTGGACCTGATATATTGTTAGGCCCTAGCGCTGGGTCAACTATTATTTGCCAGACATAAGCGCTAGGTCTAGTAGATGCTACCAGACCCTATCATTGGATATGGTAATGTCAGATTGATTTATATCAATTATATAAAAAGAATTTGTAAAGGAGAAAGAAAGAGATTTAAGAGAAAAGATTTATTTTTATTCATAACATTCCTATCTTAATATCTTAATTGTATATCATCAGCTTTTATAGGTTTTAATTTTGACAGAGTTACAAGTAAATAACAATAGCCACTACTGAACATATAAATATAAATATGCTATATTATGTCATCACAGAATTACTCCACTTCACATGTAGTTATAAACACTCATGAATTTCCAACTTATGAGAAAACAATTTAAAACAAAAAATTTAATAATGGTAAATAACCACCATAACCCACCACCAAATCTTGGTATCTTTTCCCTCGTAGCATGCATGGCATGATTCTAGCTATATCACAGACCCAAGTGTTGTCTTGCTTCGGCAGGCGCCATACGCAAAAGCAATTGTTTTAGAATTATTTGAAGAGACTAGTTTTAATTGATATAGTTTTAAAGATTCCGAGGACCCAATTAAAAAAGGAATTTCTTCAATGATTACAATCAGATCTCTTTTTTATTTCTTTCAATATTAAAAATGAATTGTTAAACTTAAAATTTTAGGATTTGAGCCGAATTCTATGTATGCATCTTTCTTTGGGCATTCGTTCCTTCTTCTTGTGTTTTTTTTTTTTTTCAGGTAGTGTTTAATATTATAATAGTAATATTTTTTAATATATTTTTTATTTAGAAATATATTGAAATAATATTTTTTATTTTTTTAAAATTTATTTTTATATCAACCCATCAAAATAATTTAAAATTATAAAAATATTAATTTAAAATATTTTTTTAAATTTCAAATATATTTTTTAAATGCAAAACCCAACATAATGGTGCTGGGATCATTGATTACTCCTGTTTGTTTGTTTTTTTCTTATAAAAAAATAGGAGGGCAATCATTGAGCCCAATGTGAGATGACAGAAATGGAGGAGCCAATGAGGGGAGGAGCAACAATGGAAAAATGGGCCAGGTAACTTCAAGCAATTGACGACCAGCTGGCCTCTGGAGTTACCACGGGACCCAACTCATCGAACCATGCCCGTTCATTTCTCAAGAAAGCTCTCTCCAAACCTTATCCACCTGGGCATTTGGTGATCTCGCCACTCAGAATACGAAAAGTTTTATAGTGTATAAACTATAATTATTAATAATAATTCAATTAAAAAGAGATGAATATAAAAGAGAAGATATAAAAATAATTAAAAAAATATAAAGTATTCTCATGAATGAAAATATTTGATGTGATTCTCTCTTCTTATATTTAATTTTTTATTGAGTAAGTATTAGTAATTACAATCTAAACATCATAGATTATTGAAAATACAACATTGTACGTATTCCCTTGAAAACTGCTAGCTATTATAAACAATATTATAAAACCATACAAAAAGATGAGCTCTAATTAAGAACTAAACTTGTAATGAATATCATTCCCTCTTTGAGATTGGAGACAAATCAACTCGATTAGACAAATACTAATTTTCTAATTCCCTTCTCCAAACTAGTTCTAATTATAAGGCCCAGGTGAGGTATATCCTATGCCATATTGCCATATATATATATGTATATATATATATAGGGCAACGATTTTCAGTTGGCACGTGCAATGATTGACTGACAAATTGACAAACTCTCCTCTTCATGCATGTGCCATTTATTGGCACCTTAAATTGTTAAAAGCTTTCAATTCGCTTTTATTTATTGATCATAAATTAAATTACTTTGTGATTTGTTTGAAGAATATTAATCTAGCTAGGAACATCACAAGACTACACATGGGGAATTATGCTGCTGGCCACGAACAACACAAGGCCAATTCGATTGTTTAAGGTTCCATGCTGTCATGGTGGATTGAGAGAGGAAGATCGAAAATTAAGGAGGAATTAATTAGAAACATGAACCACCGAAGAATTTATCATCCACTAACTTGACGAGAAACGGAAACCCTTTACGTTACTACATGCATGTCGAAGATAGTGTTTTATACATGGCCAAGGATGATACAATTTTTTTATGTCCAAAAGGACGTCCAACGGATCCTTAAACTTTATACAATGAAAAGTAACTTACCTTCAATTCTTGATCTAATTAAATCCGATATATACCTTTACATAGAAATTTCAAGTCTTAATTATCCGATTAATAATGACCAATTGACATGTACAAAAACCTTAGTGTTTATCCATATTAAAATCTCCATGATGTACTTGCAAATTATATATATATATATATTGTGGACTTGGAGGAGCTTTGTCAATGGTTGCTGTTTTAATTTCCTTAAAAGTTTCGCTTAAATAAGTTTGAGTCCCCCCTCTAAACTTTAACAACAATTAAGCTAATGAAAACCTAATATTGGAAAAAAAGAGCCATAAAAATGAAGGAGGCTAACTAGGAACTTAATTTTCATTTATGCATAGACTAAATACTTCTATATATGCATAAATCAATACAACTATTCTACTAGAAAAATAAATACAGAAGATAAGCAAAGACAAAATTGTAAAAGATTAATGCTCTCTTCTTCGTTTTTTAATTCATGACGAGGCATGCAATCTAGAGGCAAGATTAATGAAGGCTTCTTCTCTGCAAGGAATCGTAAGACAACCCATTGGAGGATTGAAGCCAAACTCTTCCTCGGCTCGATTAAGCAAGTCTTGAAATGAAGGATGGCTCAAGTATGATATTGGTACCACAAACCTCTTCCTTTGCATTTCTCCAACATATATAGCCACATGTCCTTTCGGTACATCTGGCTGATTTCTACAGTGAAGAGATTTGCCTTTGATTATATGCTTGACATTGTGAATCATGGATGGTAGACGAATGCCCATTTTAATTTGATTTTGAGCTTGAAAAGGATGATTTGAGAATTTTTTCTTTAGTTGTGAAAGTCTTGTGGAATGAGAAGGCTGTTTTGAGTCTGTATTTATATGGTTTTTTTTGGGGGGTGGACTGCCATACCATTCCAGTGGAGAGGCAGTTGGGTGCATGTTCAGCGGATGTAGCTGTTTTGCTTTTTTGGGTATCATAGGAGGACCCATGAAATCAAAGGTTCACATGGCTTCGCTAAAGGTTTTAGGCTTTGTTTTTGTATTTTAAAAAATTATTCTTTTTATTTTTTTATATTAAATTAAGTTTTTAGTATTTTTAAATTGTTGTAGTATACTAATATTAAAAATAAATTTTAAAAAACTTAAAAAATATTATTTTAATATATTTCTAGCTAAAAAATCAACCATTAACAATAATAAATGAGTTTTAAATGCGTTGTAAAACACAGGGCCATACACAGGTAACTATGAGTCAATAGCAACATTTTCTAGTGGTAAAAAAAGATTGGCCAATGGATAAGTGTTTTGGTACCACCACATCGAAGATCCACAGCTTCTCCTCCTCAAGTTTTGTAGAGTTTACGCAGTATTTTCTATGTTGCCCTGAAAAATACAAGTGCTGGAAAAAAAGAGAGTAAAAAATACAAGCGTTTATTCTATCTTGGACTTCATCCTTGCGTGATTATTCTTTAAGACCAATCGAATGTACATGGATTCTCGGATAGAATGAAATGGAATTAGCCCATGACTGTTAACAAATTAAAAGGGCCTCCATTTTTAGTAAAAAACAACGTTATCATTTTTTTTAATTGAAACAATATATTTTGGTTTAAAAATATTTCAGCATGTTATTTTGGAATTAATCTGATTATAATTATAAAATTAAGATAACTATAAAAAAATAAATTACATTAAATTATAAAATCTAATATTAAATAATAAATCAAATATTAAAAATAAAATAAAAAATAATTTGACCGAAACGAAACAACCAGAATAGAACTAGAATATCATGGGTGGAAATTGAATGAAATTTCTAGAACGGGTTGAGATACTGACTGAGATGAACTCTGTCTTTGTTTGTTTTATATTTTAAACTAAAATAAAATATACTGGTCATTCTAGGGGAACAAAACAAAATTTGATGATTGAAACATATATATATATATATATAACTTGGTGGACAAAGTCAATTCGGACAAGGCTTAGTCTGAGTTAAAAGCAGAACGCTTGGTATGCCCTTCAAAAGTGGAATTTCCACCCAGTGCTGCAATGGTTATTCTACAAGTAGTTCATCAAAGACTTGTCATGATTCACTTGAGGTAACTTTGGGAAAAGGAAATTAAATAAAGAAGTATATCTTCTTATGTGGTTGCTCAATCAATGCCGCTTGATATGAATCAAATTGAAGCTGCGCGTTTGTGCCAGTTTTCTGGGGCAATCATTCATAGCCACATGCGTTGGACTTGGGAGACTGATTGATCACTCTGACAAGCCAGTTCTAATTATATTTCATTATTGGTTCAGTTATCTGGATTCTGGGTACATTTTTTTTTTTGGGTTACAAGATTTGCTTCATTTTTATAGTTTCTGGTGAAAAACGAGACTCAGGGTAAGCATATGTGCACCCGAGATGGCCTGAGAAGGAATGGCCGAGATAATGAACAACAATATGACAAAAGAGCTAGAAAGAAAGAAGAGAAAACCATGAGTTTGATGATCATTTCTTGGATCTAGCAGCCAATCAATTGACCCACACTGACATCAAGAACATGCCCTAATGAAAAAGGCTATATATAGAAAGATTTCCTTTTTACTACCTTTAGATATCTTACCAATGGACCCTACGTATCCAAGTTATCTTCTTGGTATTCTAGAGTCATCCAGTTTCTGTAGTGCAAGGACAAAGCACAAGTTGCTACACCATAGCAATTTCGTCACTCCATGTATTTCCTATATTGATTTGATGTTTTTTTTTAATTTCTGGAACAAAATTTAATGTTTCTTGAAGCTAGAAAGGTCACTAGAGAAAGCATATGTAGTTCTAACATTGAAAAACAGTGGTGTTGAGCTAGTTATGTTTTTCAGCCTACCAACATTTTCTTAACTACTAGAACAAAATCATCATGGCTATTCGATTGAAAGAGATGTTTCTTCATGTAAAGATACGATTGGAAGAAGTTCTACGTACATCGGATCATCATCAACATACAAAATCAACAAGGCTGGACGTGCCAAAAGGCAATTTTGCAATTTATGTTGGAGAGGAAGAGAAGAAAAGGAAGCGATTTGTGATTCCAATTTCCTACTTGAAGCATCCTTTGTTTCAAAACTTGTTTAAGTCAAGCTGAAGAAGAGTTTGGTTTTGATAATCAAATGGGTAGCCTTACAATTCCATGTGCCGAAGATGAGTTCATTGTTCTTACTTCTCACTTAATATATGTTTGATTTTCAGCCAGCAATCCAGCCATGTTTATATTTTGAATGGCTTCTAGATAGTTATGCATAAAATGACAGAATATGCCAATAATTTTCCTATTTTATATTTTTATTAGAGGAATAATTTATTTTGAGATTTTCTCACCCTTTTTTTATTGGTACCCTACGTGGATGATTTTTTTCTTCTTCTAGATTTTACAATCAGGTGGTATTTCCATATTTTTTTTCACTCTTTTTTTAATTTGATGAAAGACAAGCTAGGGATTGGTTGGCACTAGTTTTATATATATATATATATAAAGAGAGAGAGAGAGAGGAATGAGATTACGAGGCTCAGGTAATATTTTGTGTTACTGATAACAATTGTTTTTTAAAAATATTTTTTTATTTAAAAATATATTAATTTTTTTAAAATATGTGTTTTAACATCATTATATAAAAGAATTTAAAAATACAAAAAAAATTAATTTAAAAAAATCATTTTTTTTAAAGCACGCCCACATCACCTACATCACGTGAACAAACAAAACTTTATTTCCATGTTGCTAAGGACCGGACCAAATTGTGACCAGTATTTTGGGCCATCTTTTTAATGAAAGATGTGTCTATAATCTGGGTTACTGTTTTGTTCAAATAACTTCATGTTTGAGTTAGGGTGGCTCGTGCTCCTCCTTAAACTATAGTAAACAAAATAGATTGGTGACTTATGCTATGCTATAAGCGATCATATTTTTTTTAATATAATTTTTTTAATGTATAAAAGGGTGCTCAAATAACGATAATAACTTTAAGGAATTAAGAAAAATTTGATACTTGAGTCAGTGGCATGTATTTCAAAAATTTGATTTAAACTATAGGCAACAATAGAAGAATGACCATAATTTTTTTTTCCAAAAATTAACTAAAACAAAAGAGCTATCAATATCATATCTAAAAGGAGAAGAAACAAAATCATTGGAGATTCATTGCCACTCAATTGTGGACAATATCACATATCACAAAAAGAGTTTGTTGAAGACAATTCAAACTCCACTACAAAGTTTAGATGACAACATGAGAAGTAGTTGCATGGACCACTAGAGTAATGTCATTGAAAAGCAAACAAAAAAAAAATATGAAGTGAGCACTTGACTATATTCAATCAACCAATTCTATTTAATTTATGAATAAAATTTGTTTTAAAAAGAACAATGAATAAAAACATATGAGATGACCCAATTAAATAAAAAAACAAAGGTCATAAAAATCAAGAAAAAAACACCCATTGCCCAATCTTCAAACAAAGGTCATAAAAATCAAGAAAAAAAACCCATTGCCCAATCTTTAACTAAATAAATATTGAAGCATGAAATTGGAAAAAAAATATTAGCTTAAAAAAAGATAAAAAAATCAAAGAAATCCTCGGCAAGTCTCCTAAAGCTGAGTCAATTCCCAAAGTTTGCAACTTGTAAAATCCTAAACTTAACTAAGAAATTCAAATTTAAAACAATTAAATATTGAAGAATAAACTTAGGTAAAGAAATACCAATCTAGAAAAAATTGCAAAGAAAAAAAACTACAATAAAAAGAATAAGGATAAAATCCAATAGAAACAAAATTGATGGAGAGTGTAATGGAAAAAAATTCAATTTTAAAAATTATCTTAGATTATTAAATAAATAGTAATTAAAAAAATAAAAACCAAATTTGATAAAGTGAAAAATTGAATGAGGATGAATTAGAAACAAAAGTTCTATTTCATAAATTATTTCAAATAAATAAATAATAACCAAAAGAACATGGACTAAATAAAAAAATAAAAGGAAGCTTAGGGTTGACTTGAAAATTTAGGGGGCAAGAAGCAAATACCAAAGAAGAGAGAGAGAATAAATAAATAAATAAATAATTATCGATGCAAAACCAAAGTTCTTCGTTACACACGCCATATTCTCATGTAGAAGACGTCGAGATGAAGCAAAAGCGACCCCTAGAATAACTTTTTTGGCCTTTGAAATTAGTTGCATGCCCAGTTTAAATATGACAAAGTGGCTAACATGTATTCGACACACATCAATAATTTATTTATATTTCTTTTTATTTATTAAAGTACAAAAGCCCAACACAATAATAACAAAAAACCAGTTGCTCAATAGCATAAATATCCAATATCCTATAACCCCAGGCTTACGAATATAAACTCCAAGGGCAATTAAATCTTTTTCCTATGCTTATACAAATAAAAAGACAAAAAAAACCCTAGCTTTGATTCAATTATTTCATAATTCTAAGGGTAATTTAATTATTTTATTGTGCACAACCAAATAAAAATAAAAAAACCTCTACATTACAACCCAACAATTTATTTCTTTTAAGGAACCAATGTAATTTTACTATGCAAAAAAAAAGGAAGGTAAATACCCACTTTGTCCATGATCAATTGTAAAATGATCCCATTACAAAAACAGTCCTACCCCCAAAAACTTGCCTTAACTTTATTGTTTTTGCAAGGGCAATACAATAAATATAATGTTCCCGTCCACAATGCATTATGTTTAGAGGCATAGTGAATTCACCACCCACTTTAGGTTTGGTTTTTTTTATTTTTTATTTTTTGAAAAAACCACATTGGCTACAAAG